AAAAAAAACATACACGTGCAAAGGTTGTACAACAATGGAAACGATCCTCCACTCGAGTAAGAAAGAAACACCTACACGCGCAGGGGAAAAAAATCAAAAGAGAATTTTTTTTTTTTTGAGAAGTTGGCGGTGGTGTTTGGGAAATGATGGGGAGAGTTGTAAAACTTCTCTGCGAGACATATCAACCTACTGCCGCCCGGATTTATCCTCCTCCGTATTACTCTCATGCAGGTATAAACCCTTTTCTTCCCATCTCATCCTTCCTTCCTCTCAATTTGACAAACACGCACAAAATGTTCCAATGAGGTCAGAAAGGATATATATATATTGCTTCTTGGCCTTTTTCATCGTTGCTGTTGTTTTCTTGTAAACGGAAGATTATGTCTGTCTTCTTCTTCTGGCGGCGTCTTCAACTTCGTGGTCCCCGCACTCCCCTCTACGCTGCAGCCATCATTGGAGAGCCGTCAGCAGAGCGACCATCCTCGAGGACTTCCCTCGCCATGCCGAGCTCGTCCAGTACGTACTGGTTGAAGCCGTTGCCGGCAATGTTCGGCAGAAATCCCTCAAACACTCCTCGGTCAACTTCACTGCAAACAAAACACACGGCCTCGATCTTATTTTGACGGCGAAAATCAAAAATATGGTTTGCATCCGCCTCCATCTGCATTGACACCGGTATAAAACGCTCCACACGAAAAAACTCTATGGGTGCACACAGAGGTGTACTTAGAATCGTCTGTTCCTCCTTCTCGTTGCTTATTTTCGTCATCTCTGCTGTTTCCACAGCACCGCTGTTGTTCGGGTCGCACTCAATCCCTCTCCTTGCACCACTGCCGGCTACATGTGACTCCCACTCCCCACTTAGCTGCACTGCGAAGGCGCGCACAAGCACAGGCACGCCAACCTTTTTTGCGGCGGGGAGAACCGTGTTGTAAAAGACACGCGGCTCAACACTTGAGGCGTCCACAAGGACAGCCAGCCGCCTCCGTGGGTCGCTCAGGTCTGTTAAAACAGGCGGGAAACGATCCTTTACAGGACCGCTGTTACTGCGTGTGCTGCTCTTGGGGTTCCCACTGCGCTGGTGACGCCGAGGCGCCAATCCGTCCTCACTCTGTGCATCGAGCCCCCCCGCTACACTCCGCGGAACGCCCGCATCCTTCAAACGCGGATGGCTTGTGCTGAGGTGAGCGGCGGCCCACCACGGCCTGCGTCTTACCGATAGAAGAGATGTCACCACGACACGTCGCATACGGGTTCGTGTCGTCTAAACCAAATAAAGAAAAAAAAATACTAAAGTAAGGGCGGTAAAGCCGCAACCTCTTGAATGAATACCAACGCGTGGTGAGAAAAAGGAAACGAAGTAGATAAAACACATTTTTTTTTATGTCGCGTATGTGAGGCATCAGGATGAACAGCTCAACACAACAAGGGCGCCAAGAAGGCGAAGGCACACACACATACACAAAATGTAGAGAGGGCGCCAGGGTCCCAAGAAGAAGACAAAATATTGTGACACAATTTTTTTTCTGCCGTAGAGACACACAAACTCCATTACCGTAAAGATGTGTCAATCACTTGCACCAGCGCCCCGTCAGACACGCCATAGAATGCAAGGCTCTGTAATTCGTTATCAAGCTCCATGGGGCGCTCAATCACGGCAGCATCACCTGAAAAGAAAGAAAGCCGTTGATACGAGGGAACAACACCAAAAATGGCACGTACGAGGGCCTTGAGTTTCCCTACAGTCATTGAACTTGGTACAGTCTTTGTTACCTGCTCAAAGCCATCACAACGAAACGTGAGGTGAAGCATAATTTGTGAGATGCCGTCGTGGCTTGCCGTCTCCCCGTCCCGGTAAATGGCCATAATAACGTCCTTATGTTTTTCTCGCAAGGTTTCTAACAAAGGAAAATGCAATGTCAACCCCACCTGTTGCTGTTCCTTGGATTCTTCTTGTGTTTTTTGGTCAGCGGCTTTTTGTCCCTCCAGTTGCTGTTTGGCGACTAAGCCACGTTGAACGTAGAAAATCTCGGAGTCAAGCCGTTCCTTGGGCCGCACATGCCCTCGATTGAGTGTCGTGATACTTGGAAAGGACGCAACCACGTACATGCGTCCAAGCGTTTCATTCCACTGCGGAAACATAGCACTGTATGTGATGCGGAATGTGTGCAGCTGTGGACATAATTTTTGAAGTGCTTCAAGCGTACGTGGGTCATTGATGTTTGTGTTGTCCTTCACACAGAGCAATTCCAAGGGCCGCAGGTATGCGTAGTCGTTGCCGTTGTCGCCAGCAGCTGTGGTAGCAGTGGAATTTGATATTGCGGTGATATTCTCATAGTACAAGTTGGGCATGCAATTTCCCGTTAGAAATAGCCGTGTCACCCGTGGGAAGGCTGTTGTCATAGTCTCATTGAGTCCACTATCACGGCCCCACGATGACAACTCATTCTGCGCAAGACTAAGAGTCGTTACGTTAGGGAACCAGTGACGGCTTTTGTCATCAGCAGCCTCCGCATTCGCTTGAAGATAGTCCGCCGATGTTTCCTCTGCTTCCGCCAGAAGCTTGAGACACTGAATGTTATTCTTCTCGAGGTGCAGCTCTTCAAGGGCCGGAAGATCCACAAGTGCGCGGAGTTGCCATATGGAGCGCAAGCCCACATTGTGAAGCACCAACTTGCGCAGATGCACTGACACTAGCAGCGGCGTTGTGCCCGCGGCAGCTCCACGGAGAAGGTCAGGATTATCCGACAGCTGCAGGACAGTCAGGGCGGGAAGATGCCGAGCAATGACGCCTACATCCCGCATCGACAGCAGGGGATTCTCAGAGATGTCAACTTCCTGCAAGCGATTTAGCGCCGCCGCCGCCAGCTCACCCTCGCTCCGTTCCCCGGTTGTAATGTTCATGCCACGAAGAACGACATGAACAAGACGTGTGTGATCCGCCTGCTTCAGCCGCGTTTTCTCCATGCCAACAAGCTCCCACTTCTTGTTACGGCGGCGACTGGGGTCCCCAACGAGAAGGGCATCCGCACCGTGGGCGTCCTCACCGTCGGGTGAGCCGTAGCGATTGCGGATGGCATCCATAAAGCTAACCACCGAAGTCACCATCGCTCGCCGAGACGTTCCTCACCCCGCGTCCTTCACCTGTTGTTCGTACGTTTAACTTATCCCTTTGCGGTCCCCCCGCCCCATGGACGCATTGCACACGAGCCAAAAGAACAAAAAGAAAAAAAAAGGAAAAGCAAAAAAAAAAGAGCGTTACACTTCAGTGACCCATTTCCATTGGCCCTTCCTGCAGTTGAGTCTTGCGCCGCAGGAGAATAACTCTTTATTCTTTCAATGCTGGGTGCATAAATGAAACAAGAGCAACAAAAAAAAGGGGAGGGGAGGGGAGGGGGGGGACACACACACACACACAGGAGCACACAACAACAACAAAAAAAAACATATTCTACCTATTCACACATAACACCGTATGGTACCCACTTCTTCTTAAACATCAAACTCTGCATGTTTGTGGTTGTGTGTGTGTGTGTGTGTGTGTGTGCGTGTGTGTGTGTATTTGTGTGTGGATGCATATTGTAAAGCAGAAGAACAAAAAAAAAAAGATACGAAGAAGTGAAACCATCAATAACAAAAAACAACCACCACTGCCAGAGCAGTGCAAAACAAACCACGTAAAAAATGAAACAGAGAAAAAAACAAAACGAAAACAACAACAACAACAGAGAGGACGTGATGCAGGTGATATGCATCCTCAACGCCCTCAGCCTTCCCATCCCCTCTTTCATTGCTTAGATACCCCATGTTTGTGCACCCACGCTTCGTATGCAGTGAACTATCTGCGTGCCTACACTGTTGGATACGAATGGTAGTGCCACCCGTAGCAGCAGCGCTGGTGGGCAGAGTTAATGTCGCACACAAGGGACAGCAACAGTAACTCCTCCCTGCACACCTCTACACGTGCCTCTCACACAACCAAATACACTCAGACAAAACAAACATCGACGTATATGTATGCATATATATATATATATACGCAAGAAAAAAAAACTCATAAATCAACTCACTTTGGTACCTATCCATTGTAAAGCATAACCAAAGTCATAACCTTCTTATCATCATCACCACATTGGTTTCATCAACTAGTTACATTGGCCGTGGTTCATTGATCGTCGCTCAGCAAATTTATGCCCACCCGCCCACATCTGCAGAGACAAAAAAAAGACAAAAAAATACCAACAACAGTAACAAACACACACGTACATACATACACACACACAGGGGGTTGTTAGTGCAGTGCGAAAAAGAAGCAAAAACAGTTACGTGTTGCTTTTATATGCAAATTATCATTAAAAAGAAAAACGAGGGGTGCTCTACTCACACAGGCCCTTGTTAAAAGAAAAAAGCAACAACAACAACAACAAAAACGAAACAAACAAAAAAAACAACACTTGAACGGGGACATTCATGGCAGCAGCAAAAAAAAAACTCCAGAGATTCGCAAAAAAAAAAACGACACAAAAGAAAAGTGAGTGCGGAAGGAATACATCTCCTTTTTTCTCCTACACAACTTTTGTTTTGTTTCCGTCTTTTTCTTTGGATCTGTCCTGTTGACACGAGCAGAGCAGCAGAGAGATGTACATAAAGCTCATATATCCATCAGGCCATTATATATACTCTTGCGTTTGCTTGCGTGCTTGTCTGTGTACCACACAGACAAGCAAAAGAGACATAAATATTCTTCTAATTGCTTCTTCTCTGCTCCTCAGTTTCCTATCCAAGTTATATAGTGTAACACATTTTTACTCATTCCTGCATTGTCTACCAGAACCTCCTTCAATTGCCCCATTTCTCGTTATTACCGCCATTGGCAGCACCTTCCAAGAGAAAGGCGTTGCCGCCGCTTGAGTCAAATGTGAAACCCAAATAATGTTGCACACCACCACCTCCGGTAAACGAGGAGCCCTCCGGTGTAGAAGAAGCGAGGCGGTCGTCAGGCGAATCCGACGTCGGACGCATCTCCTGCGTAGTGGCAACACTAAAGCGTGGTAGAAAATTTGTGTCTTGAGTGACAGATGAACTGTATGCAGCTTCCCACTGCTTTGGTGACACGGATAAGGCAGTCTCGGTGTCGAGGAATGAAGGAGGAGAAAACACTGAGGGGAGTAGCATGCGGCGATCCTTTGCCTCGGAATCACACTTTTTGTTATCATGGCTACTGCCATGATGGAGGGATTTCTTTTTGGATCTCTCACACGTGGTTGCCACGCGCGAAACGCAAGTGTTAGGCCGCTGATTGCCGTTTGACGTCGTTGCCGCATTAGCGCTCAGCTGTTGAAAACTACGTGATAAGGGTGGATCTACCACTTGACGCGTTAAGTGGGGTACACAAGCCTGATTCTCAACGCTCTTGTTTACCATGCGAGTTGGAATACCGGTGTTGCTTCTCAAAAACAGCCTCTTACATTTTGAGGAGTTTGGAGCATAATCTTCCACATCGTACGCAATCCCATAAAGTGTCCCCGATGCCTTCTTTGCATCAGTGTCAGACAGATCAAGTTGGCTCTCATCTTCACTGCTTAAACACGACGATGCCAACAATGGGGACCTTTCCAACTCTGCCGGCAAAGGGTTTAACACGGCCGAAATTGAAAGTCTCATTGGCGATACTTCCGTAGCTGAAGATACCCTTGATGCAGCTGCACCCTCTCCACCTACGATTGGGTGCAATTGCTGGGGGGTTTCAGCCTCTGGTCTCGGTACCTCCGAGGAGGCATCATGAGAAGCAAGAAGAGGCTTCATTTCTGCTAACGTAGCTCTCGTTTTTACGTCTGGTTTCGTTGCTGTTTCTACTGTAGCTTCGTAAAATGACGAGTATTGGGCTGGGAAGTTAGAACGGCGGGGCGAGTCATCCACTGGCTCCGTAGCAGATTCCCCTCCCGCCTCACTACACCATTCCCCAGTACGTGTCACCCCATATGACTTTGCCCACTGAGACGGGTTTTGAACGAGAGATCTCTCAAGACTTGGAGGTGTTGAGTCAGTAAAAATGACACGCGGCCGTGATGCCTGGGTACCGTTCGATTTACCCCCGGATGAAGCTTCGTCATATGAGTGAGTAAACCTTTTCTTACCCTCCATTGACACCCACAACGGGTCTCGCTGTGAATCCGACTGTAGCATGACCCCAACATCCTCGTCTTCCTCACTCACTGTGTTTTCCAAATGCAGGTGATGTTTTCCTCCATGGGGACTTCTAAAAGCACTCGTCCGATGATCGCCTTCACCCTCGTGGAGGTGTGAAAAACTGTTTTTCCTCCGTATATGTTTACGCAGCACACGTTGTTGCGTCACAATACTATCGCCCATGGCCGTCATTGCATTAGGAAAGTAACGCAAATCGTCAGCAGCCAAAAGACGGGGAACGTACAACGGTGACACTTTTCCATCCAAAAAAAGTTCGCGCCAGTTATCTGGCCGCTGCAGGGGGGGTTGGGCGAGAAAAGACGACACACTAAGAAGAGTTCGAAATTCGGTTGTGTTCACGTTGTCATCGCTCACATCATGCCTATCGTCTAGGTAAGCGCTTCCACCCATGTTATAGTCCCCCACATCACGACCGCCTAAGAGGAAGGTCGCATCGTTCTGGTGTAGGAATGACGTACATAATTCATTTGAGTTTGTCAGGGGGTGTCGAGGGGTTAGGGATGAACTGCAGGTTGATTTCACAGTGTCATAAAGGCTACTGTTATCGTCTAGCTCCGTTCCCGCATCGGGTGCATAATATAACTGCGCACAGACATACGGGCACGAGAAAAAAGGGTGCTCAAGCACCGATGCTCCACCCAAACGCTGCTCAACGCGGCGCTCAAGCAGTGAAACGATGAGATCACGTAATAACGTACACGCCTCATCTAATTCCTCTACAGCAAACTTCCTATAGATGGCATAATCTTCAGAAGACATGAAGGCTCCTGTCTTTATTGTATCACAGCCGGTGTGATTGAAGCCTTCACTCGGCAAACTTCGCCCACCATCGCCGCTGGCGCCCTTATCTTCACCTGAGACAGTCTCAGAGAGCGCAAAATAGGACTCCCTCGACATCACAGATTGTGGACCCATAAAACACTTACAGAGATTTACACCTTCTTCCTCAGTCATGTTCCCCGTGTCCTTCTCCAGCTCCACCTGCCCCAAACGTTGGAGAAACGCCTGGTATCGTTTCTGCAAATGCGTTATATGCGTTTCTATCTCCAGTGAGGTAAGGAGAAAGTCTTCATGACGAATAACTACATCGTGCTCAACAATAGCCTGTAAAAGGGCAAACGGACTGTCCCCCTCAAAGGGTCGTCGCCCCGTCGTCATTTCAAAAAGAATACAACCAAAACTCCACCAATCCATGCGATAATCTTGTGGCTCCCCAAGCAGCATTTCTGGGCTCATGTACTGCGTCGTGCCGGTAAAACTCTTGATGCCTTCACCACCCCTTCTGCGTGGGTTGCCTCGACCTTCATATTTCGCCACCCCAAAATCGGTAAGCATCACATTGCCCTCACGCGTGATGAGGACATTCTCCGGTTTAAGGTCGCGATAGACAAATCCTTGCTCGTGCAGGTACTGCAGCACCAATGCGAGCTCAACAGCATAAAAGGCGACCAAACGAATGGGTGTACGGCTCTGATCTGGGGCCAGGGGTAAAACGGCATTAAGAGAGGAAGTGGCTGAGTGCAAAGGCCTAAAAAGAGAGGAGGGGCTGCTCGTCAGCTCAGCTTCCTCCTGCACACCAGCTAGAGAGGAGTATGACGCATCACCACGTAAAAGACTTTTCCGCAATTTTTGAAGTTTACGACGCATCTCCCGCAGCCACGGTTTCGACTCCAGGAAAAAGTACATATCGCCGCCTTGTGCAAACTCAAGAACAAGATAGAGATGCGTACTACTCTGAAACGCCTGATACAAGCTCACTAAAAAGGGATGCCTAACTGAGGCAAGCAACTGACGTTCCGTGAAAGTGCACTGCACACAACCTTTTTCGCGTACTTTTCGCTTGGATATCTTTTTTAGCGCAAATAGTCTGGAGTTTGCTTTATGCCGTGCCAAGGTAACCTCGGCAAATGTGCCTGTACCAAGGTATGCAATAAGCTCATAGTCCTGCAGTGAGCGGGCCGCAGAAGAAGCACCACTTCGCTGCGATGGTTTGTCCAAAGCGTCTTGTGTCACTCTCTGCTTCTGAGTTTCTTCCTCCACCACTGGAGAAAAATGCATTGTTGATGGAGAATGAGGAGGGGAGGAGGAGGATACCGTCACCAATCCTTCCCTGGTTGCTTCCTCAGTATCTCTGGGCGTCAAAGAGGGCGAGGCGGTTGCCGCACCTTCCGCTTTTTTGACAGGATCTGAGGTATGCAATCGATTCAATTCCATCAGCAGCTTTGTATGTCTGCCCGCCATAACCTCTTCAAGAAATGAGAAAAATCCACCTTGATCCACTGAAGCAACATCCGGGTGTGCGCTGTCATCTGTAGACTGCATAGATGACCCTCCTGAATCACGGAGTCGCGGTGACTCCGCCACACTTTGGGTTCTGTCGAGTTTGCCGTTGGTGTCTACGCTGTGGGTTGACGAAGTTAGGGGATCTCCATCAGTTTCCAACGAGTTACGAAGTTCTCCTGAAGTTAACAACTTATCCACGGCGCACAAGACTGGAGGAGCGCACTCCCCACGCTCCTTGCCAAATTCAGGTTGTTGTTGCCTTCCAGGCAACAACCATCCAAGGGCTGTAGAGAGCCGCTCACGAATACTTACTTTGCTCTTATTTATCATTCTTGTTCCTGTCCCTTCGTAGTATATATTACGGAACTGTGGAATCCTCCCGCAGGCAAAAACAAATACACAACAACTAACTAGTAAATATATATATATTTATATATATATATATAATTATTTATTATATATATATATATATATATATATACTTTCGATATTGCTGTATCAATCCCCGCCTTCTTTTGTTTTTTGTTTTATTACTATTATTTGCTTTCCCCTCACTGTTTTTTTTTTCTATTATTACTGCAGTGGAGTCTATCAGCAAGCACAGGCCAGTTGAGTGGGGCCAGTGCCAAGTCACCCTTCCCCCACCGTATATATGTGTATTTGTAATATATACCGCGCCAATATCAACAGCTCCACAGAGAGCTGCGCCCAAGACGCCTTAACTGAACTGAATAAATAGTTGTTCCTCTCAAAGCAAATAATTATATATACAAAGTAAAAAAAGAAGTCACACAACAAAGACAAAGAAATAAGGCACCAAGCACAAAACCACAGAGAGAAAGAGACAAAGGCAAAAGAAAAAAAAGTGGAATGGAAAGCAATGCGCTGCGGCACACGTCTGAGCAAAAATAGCGGTTTGTAGCAACCCTTGTCACTGTAAGGGGGAGACAGCGCCCAGCAATCACTACACGCGGTGCACGTATGTTGGATCCCTTCCGCGAGCAACGGGGGGAACAGCAACAATCACCACCACTTATACCATTGTTGGCACTGCCAAACGGCCCAACGAACGGCAGCCTACAGGAACACCTTTACAAGTTCCTCCTCGAGAAAGTTCAACAACTCCTCATTCTGGCCGACAAGCTCTTCAACATCATCCATGAGGCGGTGCACGTCAAGGCTGTCTTGTGGCCGCGCCATGACAAGCTTAATGACATCCTGCTCCGTCCACTGGCAATGTTCTGCAGACGTGAGAGCACCCGTGCTCACGGGCGATTGCTCCGCAAGAAATAATGCAAGCGGCAGAGAAGGCGGGGCAAACAACAGACGTGGCTGCTCTAAGGAAGGATGCTGCAACTCGTGTTCCTTATCAGTGTTATTGTTGTAATTGGTATTATTATGTGCGATGGGGTTGTCCTCGTTTCCCCGCATGGAATCACTTAACCTCCGTCTCACGGCACGCAACACCGCCTTCACTGCTGTTGAGCTCTGGCGTTCCATCTCCCGTCCTTTGGTTTCCCAAAAACCGAGAAGGGATTCCACCGCACGCACGTGACCCACAGTGCCGGGGCGATGGCTCCACACCTGCTGCGTCAGCACATGTTCTTGCGCTTCATTAGCAGCAGCTGTTTCGCTTAAGCCCTCTTCTGCATGCAACAACGGGGCATCGTACCCATTCAATGCATTCCGTTGCTGTGAACCTCGCGTCTGTTCATTAGAACCCGAGACAGGAAAGTACCGGCCACGCCGGGTGTGAACACTAGTGGGACCGTAAAGTGCATGCACTCCGTTGCTTCCACTGATAGTGGCGTAGCGGCTAAGGTAGCGTAGAGCACGCACCTCTGTCAACAGTACCATTAGGTGCGAGGACGCCGGAGAGAAGAAGAGAGCGCTGGTATTCGCTTTAACACGGGAAGTCGCAGGTCTACTTCCATGCAGACCCGAAAACGCCGCATCAGCTACGAGTGGGTCTGGTGGAAAAAAAATAGTCGTGTGCGCCGTTGCATTCGTGGCTGTTGAGGCTGGCATTCGTTGCTGCTGTTGCTGCGGCATGTTACTGCCGCCCACGAACTGCATTCCAAACGGCGGTTGTATCTTCGCGTTGCGTTCGTCGCGTCGTCGTCGCAGTAGTGCGAACACCTCGCCGTTTGTCATGGGAATTCGTTCTGAAATGATCATCGCCGCTGCAACCCTCCTTTGTATTACCGTGCCCGTATTCACTTCCCCCAGCGAGCGTGCAAAAGAGAGAGAAGTGGAGGATAAGGAAAAAAAAAAAAACAGTCAACGCAGCACAACGGTATGTGAGAGTGGGTGAAGGGAGACAATGGGTACAAAAACAACGCTTCACGCTTCACTCTCACGAGAAACCACCGGACATAACGGAAATAAAAAAAAAGGTGGACCGCTACAAATACAGAGTTACACACGTTCGCACGCACAGTACATACCCGGAGAGGCTTGGGTGAGGAAAGAATGGGGGAGCGATACCACAAAAACCCGCGTGGATCGCGGCAAAAAAAAACAAACAAACAAACAAACAAACCTTATTGACCACAAAATAATAATAATAATAATAATATGAACGGTATGCTACTGTGTGCGCGTGAATGCTCATTCGTTCTCCACTTTTCCAATGTTGCTCCACACAGAAACATGCTCCCGTTTGTTCCTCACTATTATAAACATGTAGTTAGATGCCCGTATAATACTCACCATCGTCGCAGTACCTGTCCGCCTCTACGTATCCAGACAGAGACCGTCCTCAGCAGGCTCAAGTTGATGAACTGTGATGTCCCCCTTAACGCCAATCTCCACCACGGCGTGCTTAGGCAAACGTAGCGTTGGGGACAACTCTGGCAACACGTCTGCCATAAAAGCAAGAACACCCTGAGCAGGTACTGAAGTTGCAACAACAACGACAGGTCCTTGCACCCGCATTACTGCCATTAGCGCTGGTTCAAGTCGAACATTCACCTGTCTGCAACTTTCACCATTTGGAAACTGCACACAGTACGATAAACGAGGGTCAGTGCCATTAGGGACGTGACGAAAGCGAAGAATTGCCTTAGCATTGTTGCCAAAGTGTTGCGTTGGTACATGCTCCCCATCTTGATCGCCTTGATGTGAGGGTCCAAGTGATTCCTTTCCCCCCTGCGCGTTACTTTCCACATCTTCAGGATGGGAATTTGGCGAGATATTCATACTTGACAAAGATTCATCACTGCTCCCTGGCACCGCCGCAAACAGAATCCGTGAGAGTTTTGCGTAACGCTTTTGCACCCACCGCACTGTTCGTCCACTAAACCAGCCGTAGTTGATGCTGTCAAGGCCCGGTAGAGGGCATAGAAGTTCCTCCTGCGATGGAAGTGCACTAAAAGGAACGTTCTCCTCATCTTCCACCCTAGTTACACCATCCTCGCTGTCGTCACGCAGCGACTCAGCAAGTGGTTTTAGTGTGTTTACTACACTGCAGTTTGTGCCATGCAGCACAATCATATTTGGTACGTAACGCTCCAAAATAAAGCGTCGCAATGCCAGTGCAAATTTTTCTCCCAGGGGCGTCAAATGTTCATCCCCGCCATAGATGTGGTTGCTCTCACCCTCAGTTTCACCAGGAAGGGCGATATAAACGGGGTATGCAACAGGATGCAGGTTCAGTAAGAAAAACGCAATACGACTTGCGAGACCGCAGGGTATATTTTGCACCACAACGTGCTGTTTTACGTTTACTATGCGAATAAAGCTTAAATCCTCGGCGCGATCCAGTGGTTCGTACACCTTTTCATACTCCGCAATGCGAGAGCGAAATGAGCTGATTACTCCGCTTATGTCTCCAACATTTTTGAAGTCATCGTTGCCGCACTTTGAGCGAAGAATATTTTCCGTAATGATGTTGTCATCCGTGCAAATTGACTCAATAAATACAACGCGACACTCCACATTGCGCTGTTTTGACGCATTGGTGAAAAACTCTATCAAATGGCGTCGTCGTGCCCTTGTGGTGTTGGTGGCGTCAAACACACCCACGGCGGCGCGATGTTGCGAAATAAACTCCAAGAGATCCTCACATGCGAGTTGCGCCATTTTCTCACGCAATTGGCTTCCCTTAGCATTATTTGGATCGAAAAAACCTGCATCTGCGGTTCCCTCAACACCGAGCAGCTGTCGACGATAACTACCCGCGTTAAAGACGCGGCAAGGAACACCTTTCCAGTTGAGGTAACGTGACAGCCGACGGGCAATAAACGATTTTCCACGCCCTGGTAGACCTACCATACAAACAACAAGCGGCACCGGATCCGAAATGGTAGTGTAGCTTGAAAATTTAGCCGTTGCGTACTCCTCCTCTGCTTCATCCTCCTCCTCTTCCACTTCATCTTCGTTCTGCACGCCATCCTCGGCAGAATGGCATGAAGCTAGGTGGTATTGGGTTTGTACCATTGACATCACGTCTGGTGGGAGGCACGCCATAAGCGAAGCTGAGGCAACGTCGTTCTGTTGCTCACTTCCGGTTTCGGAATCCAGTGACAGCGATTGCATGGCAGATAATTTTTTACTTGCTTGAATTGGTGGAGAGAGAAGTAATGACTGCATCGCTGAGTTGGTTGCAACACTCAGACTAAAAACTTGACTTCGTCCAGCATTCTTATCAGTGAAGTCCACGTGTTCGCTTTCACTACCCTCATGTTCTTTTTGCTGCTCGTGTAGAAGCATAATTTGCTGCGTGGCATGCAGTAGATAGCGGCAAACACCGCTGTGACGATTAGCTGCAGCCCAGTCAAGCGGGGTCCGTCCAGTATTATCCATAGCCATGATATCAGCACCAAATGAAAGTAACAAGCGCACAATCACCTCATTGCCTTCCAGCGCTGCCACATGCAAGGGAGTGCACCCATTGTAGTCCCGCTTGTTGACATCACAGAGCTTATTATCAAGAAGGTACTGCAGCTGTGAGGCTTTGCTAGCCCTTACCATGGAAAAAATGTTTTGTTCCGAGAATTGTTTTCGCATAGCTTCTAATTGCCGCTGCAATGACTGTTTTTGGCACACCAACACAGAGATGAGCATGCTTCGATTTTGCTCACGCGCAGTGCGAGCAAAATGAGGATCCTTAATGGAAGCCAGCGGTTGCAGCCGACTTCTAAAACACGGCCGAAATAGCGTACTACAAACGGAACCACCGACCCTCTCTGCGCAAGACAACTGATGTAAGAACGCCTGCTGCATCTCACCCACAGGACAAAAGGAGTGCGTGGGAAACGACGTCGCTCGATACCTACGAGGTTCCCTCAGATCGTCTTCATTGAAAGTCAGGCCGTTCTCAAGAGTGGTCGTAGGATTTACTTCTTCTGGACATGTTCGTGTGGAGGCAAGAAGGCTATTTGACACCCGCCCATACGCATAGCCCGAAAACGAGTTAACTAAAGAATAACTCTGCGGCAAAGCATCAAAAACTAGCGATACGTTTGCGTTTTGAGACGGCGGAGGCGGCGACGATGGTGAGGTCCCCAATACGACTGTTTCACAGAAACAAGGGGCATCTGCTCTGTATCCCCACTTATCCCAAGCATCTGGCGAGGCGCCCTCGCTGGGTTGTAAACACCCAGGGCATCCCAGGTTAAGGGTACTTGCTGGCGCCACTGTTGCTGTTGTTGTTGTTGTTGTCTTCGTAGCTGCTGCTGTTGCTGCGATCTCTGGTCGCTCTGATACCATTTTTACCTGAGCTCCAGTTCCAGCAGCAACAGCTCCGTCACTCTTACCTGGCAAAGTTGCATCCCCGCCTTCATCATCCGCCAACTGGGGTGACGTCTGATCGGAACCACAAGATTCGCTTACTGAGTTCATTTGCCCTGTTGCGTACTTCAATTTCGTGAACCACGAGTGTGGTACTTCCTCACGCCTGCTGTGGGCCTCTGATCGGCCTGTCTGCCTCACGTTAGGTGCTTCCTCCTCCCTCCCCCTAAATTAGGTTATTAATATTATTTTATTTTTTATACACTCCTGTTTTTTTTTTCTTGCTCTTCCTGTGCGTGTGATTTGTGAATACGCGAATTAGATCAATATTAAGTTTAGTTCTTTTTTTTGTTTTGTTTTTTTCTTCAACTCAATAAATACGTCTTTTGGTCTTGGCCTCTTTTTCCAGCTGTGCAATTTATCCAATACCCCTCTTTTGGGAGCTGACGTTCCCTACCTATTGTGCCTGCGGTATCCTCTTCCTGTACGGCGAAGCTTTTCCTCCTGCTTACTGAGTGGTACCCACTGACACACAGGAGGGCACCTGCACCAAAGATTTACGTATATATACGTACAATATTGTTTTCGTTTTCCCCCACCCACCCCCCTGCCTTGCTGTGCACACGTCCTTCGGGCACCTGCTAAAGCTCTTCTATATACACTATACCTAGTTTTTCTTTCGCTCTCTATCCGTTCCCTTCCTCCTTTAGCTAAAGAACAAAGGGTTAAGGAAGAGGAGAATAGAGCAACAATAAAACGGGCAGCACTGCAGCCACCAGGCAAAAGCTCATGAGTATAAACCAACACATACACACACACACACACATGGTAATATCAGACGCAAAGCAACACACAAAACGCATCAAAAGAAAGAATACGGATATACACAAGAATTATGTCTATCTAGGAGAAGAGAGTTCAACTAGGATCCGACTCCACCCCACTGTTTTCCTGCGGTTCCCCCCCCCCCCTGTAAAAAGTTCTTCTTCGTATTATCAATACCATTCAATGAAGACAAGTAACAGGGAGATAAGCAACAAAGCCGCACGGACCGCGAGAATGGTAAAAAGCAACCCTGAATTAGTGGAATGACCGGCCGTCCACCTTTAATGCCAAAATCTCCTCTGATGATTATTCTTCACTGCAGGTAATCTCCACTATTGTAAGGAATAGTCTTGCAAGATAAATCTGGACTCTGAAAGTAAGCAATAGAAGCCAAAGACTATTATGCTTTCACCCTAGCAGACGTCCGGTCAATATATTTTATGCCACCACCAAGTCACGAGTCATTCGCTGTTCCATTGTAGTCACTACAGGCGCAGCATTCTGATCAGTATACGAGGCAACCGTTGTGGATTCGGCTCTTCTGAGACCCGTGTTCGTCGGTTGGAAAAAAGGTGTGAGAATTGAGGCCCTTCCAATGCCACCCAGCGAGCGCGGGGACCTTTTAAAAGCAGTCACACTTGGCATAACACTCATTCCAAGTCGAGTGTAAGCCAGGTTTTCGGAGCGGCGTCGTTCCTCGACGCGTTGCGAGTCCCCCATTGTGCCTCCCAAATACTGAATGCCAGTGGAGCAAGCGCGGCAGCCAGAAGCAGCAGGAAAAAAAAGAAAAAAAAAGACATGGAAGCATCGAAGGTGTGCGCTAGAGCAAAGTACACTAAAAGCGGACCTCCCAGTGAATTGTCTTGATATCTGTCCATGCACACTACTAGTAGGCCAAGTGGCGTGGCCCCGGCAGAAAAGGCTTTACAAAGCAACTCGGTATGCTACAGGCCCGTTAGAAGCGCGTGTACAGCCATGCGAGACTCTTCCGAATGCGCATCATATGGTTAAACCCATCAAACAACACCATCAGGCGGCCACTGTCTCTTCGTTTTCCACAGCTGCTGTTGCCGGCTGTGCCATGCGATGGTGGCACAAACAGTTGCCTTTGCGTCTCCTGCATCTTTTGCTGCTCTCGCATCTCCGCCTTATTGGCAGGGTTTTCTTTACGCAAGGCCCTAGAGACAAAAACTCAGTTCTCGTACTTGCACACTACATGCCGCCGTTGCGCGGGAATACTTGTCTCCAAGAGACAAATGTCCTGACTACCTGATTGTGTCCCAGAGGCTCCAAAAAAATTCACCCTACGAGAAAAAATGGACTCCGCCTCTTATTCACCATTTGAACAGTCATTTTAGTCCTCGGGGCTCACTGCAGTCGCTTTGATGGCGACCCAAAAAAAAAAAAAAAAAACAATTCAAATAAGCAGCAAAAAGAATTCAATAAATACAATTTTTTTTTAAAAAAAAATACGGACCAAATTAAAAATGGATAAAAACAGATTTGCATATTTCGCAGTGCATGTATGTGGTGTGGAAAAATATATGTCCAAATCACTGTTCGCTTCGACCCCGCTTCGCCAGGAAAAAAATAAAAAAATAAAAACAGCAAAACAGGTAGTATCCTCCGTACCACCACTGGGAAAAACGAGGAGGCTGAGGAAGCGGTTGCGCTTCACACGCGAGGCCCCATGTGTATTGAAGCTCTTGGATTGCAAGTCCCCTAGAACTGGCCTCTTACTGGGCAGTTTTTTGCTGAGTCGATTGAATCCTTTCCACCTCCCTCCACAACTCTTCCACAGAGCTGTACTCGCATTCTTGACCCTCTTGCTCTTCTGGCTGATACGTATCCGAGGACCGTATTTGGCGGAGATGGCGCAACATGGTGTCTCTAAGATGTGGCTTCTCTGAAGAGCTCGTCGAAGGCCATGTACGGCTGGAACTTGACGTTGTCACCGTTGTCTTTGTGGAATTGCGTACTGCCGCTGTGGGGAACGTAGGGGGCAGAGAGTTGCCCGGACTCCACGACTCCTGCGCAAGCCACAGCCTCGAGGAGGAGTTGGTGTAGCGTGTCGTTTCTGTTGTCGCAGATGACGAATTCTCATCACTGCGTCGGCACGTGCGCCGCGGTCGCGGCATGTTGTGCTGTGAACGAGTCACAAAGCGCAATAAACCGTCCGAGACGATGCTGCTCGGGTGCGTAGAAGAAAGCCACGACGAGGACTCCGCACCGTCAATCTCCAACAGCAACCGCCGCCGAGCATCCACCTCGGTCATAGACGTACCTTCGCTTCCCTCCTGCAACGCCTTTTCCCCTGCCATGTGACTCGCCTCGTGGAGCAAATCCAAAAAACTCCTTTGCGCAGGTTGTTCCTCTTTTTTTTCATCATACTCGTGCATCCACTCAAGGATAAACCGTGTAATGGGATCACGAATTGTGGAGGTTGAAGGGACTGGCGGTAAAACCACCTTGTCACGAGGTCTATCGCCATCAACCACGGCTTCCACCTCTGTGCCAGGCACGACGGCAGCAGCGACGTCTTGCGACACTACACCGCATGGGTTCTGCGCATCACGATGTTGATTGAGCATCGCGACATTCATTTGTTGCCAATCCCACATCATGTGCCACGAGCTTCGCAACGCATCCTCTTGCTCTTCCAGCATCTGCCTTTGCAACGACTCATCGTCAGACAATCGAGCACGCTCACGTCGCTGCTCACGCTCAATGCACTGAGGCTGCTGCGCATTAGTAACTTCCGTGACTGTTACAGAGCCCTCTGGAAAAGAGAGCAACTGTGGAATGTTTGCCGTATCCAGTTTGGCTGGCTCAGGCAAAGGGAGTCCTCCATGTGAAATACTGAAATCTAAGCGAGGCGGCTTCACCTCCTGCACCTCTTCATTCCCTAACCCCTTCGTCGCCGAAAACATATGGGTGGTACTTCTGGTGATTGGTGCGTCCACCACCTCACATGAGAGGAGGTCCTCCTCCGTGGCACAACGCATTCGCCGAGCTTCGCTCGCAATAGTGTCACCTTGTGCAGGGCTGGCCAGTTCCATTGCAGCCGGCAGTTTGACAGCCGCCAAGTGCTCCATGACAGGATTAATGTCGAGAACAATACGAACGGTACCAGTGGCATCCGGTACAACACTGCCGCTGGCACCCTCCAGCGCCAAAACAACATTTTTCTGTAGAGCAGCAATAAGAGGCAACTGTGTTGTTGTTGCTTTTATTGAGGGCGGCGATGGTAATGATGGATGATGGTCTCCACTGATCGTCGTCAGCGTCGTCGCCTGAACGGGCGGCTCACAAGGTGGGTTCACTTCTCCCTCCGGTGTTTGCCAAAGAGGATCGGTGGTGACAGAAACAACCTCTCGCACCCACAACGGGGGCCCCTCCACCTCGCAGAGAGTGTCAGATTTTAATTCCGTTTGTTCTCCCTCTGGAATTATTGCCGTCACCTCCCGTTCCCCTGCTTCTCCCTCCGTACTCTCCTTCCTAGTTTCCTCCGATTTCGGTCGTAGGAGAGATTGCAACAAGGACTCCTCAAGAAGGCGCAAGACAGTTCCCTCCAAAGAGTACTCTTCATGGATAGGGGCACCAAACGTGTGCAATGCAGCCGCTACACGTTCGACTGTCAGCATCTCAGCAGCATTAACCTCTCCTTCCTCCTCATTTTCCTTTTCCTTCGGTTGCAGCCGCCGTGTAGCTTCATCTTCTCGTCCCAAATTCTTGGACGTGAGGCGGTGCAATTCGGCACTCACAAGGTAATCCTCTAGCTCGTTAAGCAAAACAGCAAACAGGCTCGCCTCAGCTGCATCCCCAATAATGCTGTGAATGGTCTCACTGGCAAGGAGATCCGCCAGGCACGGTCCACTTTCTTCTGCAGGAAACAATTTATCTGAGATAGAAGATCGAGGTTCTCCAAGTTTTTGGCCGGGCGACCTCAACGAGAGAGCCTTAATACGCTCTAGACGGCGCCTTGCTTCTATGCGTGTCCGCGCCTCCGCGGCCCGAAGCCTCGCCCGTCGGCGTGGTGACAAGGCACTAGCTTCTTCCCCAAAAAAATAGACGTCGCATGGACGTTGAATTTCTTTTCCTCCCCCCTCAGCAGTGATCTGTGGTGGGATTGAGAGAGAGATATCGAAGGCGCGCTCAACATCGCGCCGCCTCTCCGCCTCCTCAGCTGTTAGCGAATCCGAAAGCAACAAGATGTTGCCTGGGAACATCGCTTTCCCGACAGGGCTCTCGCCACTACTGGGGACATTTTCGTAAGAGTGCGAAAAACCACCCACAACGGGTGTTAAAGAAGAGGGTGGCAGAGTTGCATTTAGTGAATGAACCGAGTCCGTAAGAACCGTCTCAGTCGTGTTGTAAAACTGTTGTTCAGTGTTAGATAAAGCGCCATGCACTGCGAAGGCGTACTGAGACCCGTCATGTAGCCCTTTATCATAAGGCCGAGATTGCAACTTTGCATTGCGAGATTTTGATGAAACACGTGGGCGTTGCACGGCAGCAGCGGATTTACCGCTTGTAGTAACCCCCGGCCCCACAGGACGTCCGGAAGGTACTGCATACGGTGAGCGTCGTGGTTGTGCAAATTTCCCTCGTTTTCCTGCGGATGAGTGGATGCTGGTACGTCTTTTATCGCTGGACGCACGTGGCCCAGCCTTTACGTCTCCAGAGGGTTGTTGACGCGTATTTTTTTCCTCATTGTCGGACATCATCACTACTGCATCGACTCGCTGGGATGAGGCGCCATGGGCAATTGCAGTCGCCTCACTGCACGGCTCCTCAGGCAACACAACAGAAAAAGGACCCGTAACAATAGAATGCCTCAAATCTTCTTTTTGCTTCTTCTTTTTCGTTTCATCCACCTCGTTTTCAAACGTCTTCGTGGTATCTTCCACACCATCCTCTTCTGCCCAACTCACCGGTCTTTTAGCAGATAAATTTTTCCCACCTCCTGAGACGTTTGTTAAAGGCTGCGGACGACGAGGATAAGGCTGACGTTCGTTTGACATGGTTGTGGCAGCCACTTCTAGGTTTTCTCCTCTCACACGTCCACGTCTATCGTTGCCTGAAGGCAAAGCCTTGCGTAACATCTGCTGCAATGCCATCTGCTGTTTGAACTCCGCAGCGTGCTGCCAACGACGCCGTTTCAATTCTTGTGAAATCATAGCACGCTTAATTTCCTCCGTGTTCTCATGTTGTTGCTGAACCACAGCATACCGCAGTGTCTGTATTGTTGCGTTCTTTTCCCGCTCGAACGCCTCCTTTTGTTCCTGCATAATATTTGCCCATGCTTGACGCTCGTTCCGCAGAAGTTGCTCATACTCGGAGTGCAGTCGCCCCAGCTCTTCTTCAATGTAATGGGGAGGAAGTGAAGGAGGTGCTGGCGGAACCATCAACGGTGTCTTTGGGCGCATCGTTGAGATTGTAATGACAGGAGGTAGTGGCCGCTTTGGATCGTACTGAAGCTTTTGTAATGCCTCAGCAATTTCAAACGGTTCCGCCTGTTGCAGCTTGGAGGGGGCGAGTGGCTCCAATGTGGGGTCGGCACGCGGTGCCATGATGCGTCGCCGTGCTGCCTCCTGCTGCTCACGCGCTAGTTGACGGAAACTCGCCTCCTGCGCCGCGGCGAGCCGCTCAAGTAGCCTCCGCTGATCCATGAGTTCGTCCCGCAATTCGTCTGGTATGCGTGGGAGTGTCTTGGCCACCATTCCCGCCAGTGACGCTGCGGAGGGTGGCGAAACTGGACGAGAGACTCGAGAAGCCGCCGTCGCCTCCTCTTCCACACGCCCACATGTCCCGGTAGTCACTGTCTTCTTCTGCTGTTGGCGCTTTGGCTCCGCCGCCTCCTCAGTCGGAAGATTTGTTATGGCTGTCATTGGCTGATGCTGACGCTGCTGCTGCTGGCACCGCCGCACGCACGCTGCCACGTCCGGGCGGTTAGAGTGAACACTAAACTGCAGGAGCTGCAACGCCTCCCGTACACTCGTAGTGTCAGGCAAAATGTCATGAACGGTCCGTAAAAAAGCTACATCTCCACCTTTGTTTCCAAATTGTGGCGTCCACAAATCAGCGCCTTCCACAACATCCGAGTGGCGCAGCAGCGGTGCCACGTATCGCTCTGGATCAAATTCCATCCCCTCGCTAGAGCAAATGGAATCTTCACTGGTCAGTGACGCAGCTTCCGCATGAGCTCCCAAAGGCGAAGCATGACGACGCTGACGCGGAGCCAAATGACGGATGCGTCGACATTGTGCCTGCTGAAGGCGAGAGTGCAGCTTTTCAAGGTCCTCCATGATGGCCGCATGGGTGTCGGCCTCAAGTGCATTACCCTCTTCTATACAGTTGCCCTGACGGAAAAAAAACATATCAGCATCTTCTCCAAAACTGTGACCCTCCCCCAGTTGACACTCCCGCTGAGCCTCTGACCAAACATTTTCCATGCAATATGGATCCGCGTGCAGGGTGCGACCCGCAAGTTCTTCCCGAGCATCATGCAAAGCAGCTGCTGCAGCGGACTCCCGCCCTGGCTTCCCCGCAGCTGTGTCTTCGCAGGTTGGGTAGCCATCGTCCGACACACCTCCTGTGTCGGAAAGCACCAGTCCATTCTCGGCGCGCAGCCGTTCGTCCACCTCCACCATCATCTCGAGGCGATGAAACTGCTGCAACGTCTCCCGCCTGGAGGGGGCGGCAGCATCAAACGACGCACCAGGGATAAACCCAGGGAAGGGGGTAGTAGTCGTTGCTTTGGCATAGCGACGCCTAGAACCACGAAGGACCGGAGGCTTTTCCGTGCGGATGCGCACAGTCTGTGACATCGTTCTATTGTTCTTCACTATACTGTATAAAATCAACCCTCCCTGGCGTCACAGGGGCACAAAAAGAACCTGTTTTGCAGGTGTGGCTCTTGTTGGACGGGTTCTCCTGCACACGGCAAGAATCGAGGAAAACAAAATGATGAAAGGAGTCCCCACCCACAAACAAACACACCAGAGAAGAGGCATTTGCCTAAGTTCTCCCACATTTCCCTTCTTCCTTTAGTTGGCCCTCCACCAGTAATAGACAAAAGCGCAACACCCACAAAACGTATAGCAATTAAAGCAAAACAAAAGGAAAGGAACCCCAACACGCCCCGCGGTGTGGCACGCGCCGAAATTGCTGCAAAATTTATTACAAGGCACGTGCCAAGGCAAAGAACGCTAAGCAGTTTGCATCCCAGCGTGGCAGCAGCGAGCAAGCCAAGCGATGCTGCATGAAGTGTTGCGTAAGTTACATGAAAATGCACTGCAAACGCAAACGGCACATTACGAGAAAGTGATAATAATAATAGTAATAATATATGTGGTATGCTACAACCACAACAATACTTGCAGCCAAATTATTACAAAACAGACAGGGGCTGACGCGCAATCAACCAGAGTTCTCCGTCCACACCAGTAAAAAAAAAAAAGGAAGTTAACGTATGAGGACTTTTTTATTTAAAGGAAGGAGAAATAAATGGAAAGAAGGGCGAGAGACAACACATAGATATCTTTCATGCAAATGCGTGGTTAGGCGTAAGATGGGTGGAAGTAATGTGCAGACAAATAACACGTAAGAAACAACGCTGCATTCCCACTCCCTTTGCATTAGTTTTAGTTTTTGTTGTTGTTATTTTCTTGCGTTTTACCCACCCAACTACCTTAGTCACCAGAACCTGACCGCATTGCAAAGGGGGGGGGGGGCGCCTGAATGCATTTCACCCTCGTTTTTTTTTTTTTGTGTGTGTGTGTGTTTCAAAATCATAATAGGCGTGGTGTATTCCTTTACAAATTTGCATACCGCGCACTATTCCTGTCAATATAATTCCCTTTTAGTATTTGGAACCGCCATTGTTTCCTCCTCCCTCCAAAGAATACAAATCTCGTTGGGACACCTTACTTCGCCTTCCTAGCGCTGTTGTGCGAACTTGCTCACAAACGCACTCGCAGAGGCGCTAGTCTTTCCTTGTGGTTCCGTTTTCAAAGGATCTTCAGTGAGGCCCATGCCGGCAACGCGTGGATGGGACGGCTTCACCACCCAAGGGAGACGCAAGGAGTTAAAAAAGGAAGGATAGGATGTGTGCAAAAGAACTTCTTAAATTGCACACATATGACACACACAAACAAAACAAAACATCATCGTCTAAGAGAGTACATACGTATTACATACACACACACTCTTTTTCTCCCTTTTCCCTTCGTCTGGGGGAAACTTCATGTGACATCACTTTGCTGCTCTCAGCAAGCCAGTCTCTCACCTCTCAGCGATCCATGAACCACTTCTCCCAAAATGAGCGACTTGTGTCCTCCACTGCGAGCTCAAACACCTCGATGTGATCCTTCTCAGCTTCCTTTTCCCGCGTCGTCTCCTTGTGGCGTCGGCAAAATGGGGTCGCTGTACCGCACAAATAAAACTAGTGGTGATCCTTCTGATTCGCGGCGAGCAACGCCAAAACTACCATCGATACGAACCAAACTCTCGCTGTCTGCAGGAACCTCGACCGTTTCAACCAGCGGGAGCCGCGAATCAACGCGGTGAACCTCCTCTGCACACGACAGTCTGTGCTCCATCCATCGCCCCTGATGCACCAACGTACTTTGAAGACAAAAAATGTCGTACTGCTGCAACACCGGATCGAGTAAAGCCGCAAAATCCCTTGGAGTCTTAGTGATGTCAGCAAGCTTAATGCAGTGTAAGATATGACGGTTATCACCGTGGACATCAAAGCGAAACCGATCAAAGGCATCACGCTCTAGGAACAGACACTCCTTTACAAACTTCTCTACAGGCGTTAAACAAGTCTCGAGCCACTCACCGGTTGACACATTTCGGTGTAATGCGGCAAACTTCAACATGAGGTCAACTAGAAAAGGATCGGTACGGATATCAGCCGCAATAACCGTGCGTAGCAACGCCACAGCACTATCCTCTGGTTGAGTCCGAATGGACATGAGTTGTGCATAGTACCCACAAGCAGCTCGTAGTTCGTATGCCAACAGTCGTGTCAAGGGGTTGCTCTTGATAGCTGCATATAAACGTCCGTCGGGCTGTCGCAAAACCGTATCCAAGTGGAATTCACCCTGAAGCAATATGCGTCATGCCTTATTCTCCACTTCTCCAAAGAGGGGCTCGAATATCCCGTTGTGGGGTTTCCCCATCCAGCATCTGTTGAAAACCCTCTGCAAGGAGCATGCGGGGAAGCGCAGGAGGCGCAACGGCCTCCAGGGCACCGAGCACGCGTTGGATAAAGTGTTCCTGATTAAAGAAAGCATGCCGTTAAAGAGCCGCAGCAGACCCCGCACCCTGCACACGCAGTGGAATCACGTGGCGCAGAAAACTTCTGCTTCACCTCCCGCAGTGCACCATCTACGGAAGAGGAAGAGGAGGCCACAGGAGTAATGGATGAAGTTGTAGAAAAAGAACTGGCCAGGCGCAAAGATGCCCTCATCACGATGAGGAAACCCCACTACCTCCGCTCAAAAATAAAATAAAAAAATATCCTTCACTCTTACACCCCCTTCCATTTTTTTATTCTGGTCCTCCACGTGTTGACGTCCTCCAGTGCCTTAAAAAGATAAAAAAATAAATCGAGAAACAAAGAGAAATTATCATAGACTAAGATGGGCTTTGACTTTTCTCCCTAGAGGAAAATCTGGACAAAAGGACCCACCTGTCCTTGTTTGCTCCATCTCTCTCACTCTATCCACCTTTCTCAAGTAAATGGTCGGGTTGTTAGTGATAGCTAGAAAGCTGGCAAGAATTTAGTGATGCAGTTCTGTCCATATATGTGGGTATAACTAAGTCAATAAATATATACGTTCCAGTGTTGATGCTAACATTCTTTTTTCCAACCAGCAGCATCCCCGTTTTTTTTTTTTTAGCTTTTCCGCTTTTACCTCCTCCATGTTTCTTTTTAAACGCGTTGTGTGTTGGAGCTGCCTCCAATCCGCGGGAGTCGACGTGTGCACCAAGAGGGGGAACTAAAAGACACAGCCACTCCATGTGCGATTACCCCTTTTTTCTATCTTCCTCTTCCTCCCCATCCCTCCCTTGGTCCCCAGACTTTGTCTCGTCAGCTTCCTCCTCTTCCACCTCCTCCTCCTGGTGACTGTGCGTTAATTCCACTAGCCACCACGCTTTGTGGCACGTTTATTGGCCTTGCGACCCCTACCCTTTACTTTGCGCGGGCCATGCTTGACGTATCCTGGCACCTTCGCGGCGGAGTCAAGTGGTTTGTAGTTGCGATTAAAGCGAGCCTTATTGAACGCCTTCACTGCCGCCTTCTTACGTGCTCGGGCCGGCAAATCACTTGCACGCAATCCACGACCACCGCTGCCCTTTGCCCCTGTGAGCAACGCACGGTCCTTCACCTTGCGTTCCTTATCAGAGTCGTTGTCGTTATCGCTATCGTCGCCGCTGTCGTCGTTATCAAATCGCATTCGTACAGGCTCTGACACGCCGGCCGTACGCCGTGTCACGAGGTTGCCTACAACTCGAAAGGCCTCAGGATGTTGCATAAGAAACTCCATGAGACTCACACCAAGAGAACCGTCAAAGCGGCAATTAAAATGCGGCCATTTCCCAATAAGGTTTCCGACGTCACCAACATACATGGGCCGCGGTTTTCGTGGCATTGCCATGAGAATCTCCTCCACGGCTTGACGATGCAACCGCTGCACCTCACGCTGGCGTTGACCCGCAAGTGGAAGTGTCAACCACGAAAGAAGCAGTGGTTCCTCAGGAAGAGCAGTTCGCACAGGCAGTGAACGAAGCAGCTCCATGCGGCTCGGGGTCTTGTGTGGCAGCCTCCGGCTTGAAAGCCGCGCCGTGGTCCCCCTCTTTGATTCTGCAGAGGAGGTGTCCTCCTTTCGCAGCAAAAAACAGTTTGACAGAAAACTAGGAAGCAAGCCCACTTGTGGCTCGAGCGTCATCGACCACAGAGTTCTGCGCTCTACTTCTTCTACACTTAAAGAATACCCCGCCACCGCATCGTAAATGAAGTGCATTAAGACCACAAGGTAATTGGCGAAGGTGGGAGTAAGCTTAGACCCGTAACGACTCCGCAACCGTCGCACTGCATCCTCGCGTTTTCGATCCGCCATCTTCAATGCTTCAAACCCTGGTACCACCCTACTCACCCCCCAGGCTGCACCAAAGGCATCTATAATCCCAGGTGGGGCATGATCGTAGAGGTAGCACATGGTGGCCTGAAGCTGCAGGTTCGGAAGCGTCGCATAGTAGTTTGCAAACTTCTTCCTCTCGATGGTAGAAGGCTGAGAGACGAGTTTGCGTAAATCGCTGCCTCCAGCGACCTCAGTTCCGACGAGGTCCCAATTCGTCTCTGTTACCGCTTTTCCTTCCTCGATTTCCCTGATGGGTGGGAATAGACGGACCACCTTGGCCACTGCACGGAGCGCCATTTCCTTTAGCGTGCCTCCAGGAGGCCCATCAAACCTTTCGGATTGATCCACAAGACGGCGTGCAACATATGCCAGAGTATGATGGGCGTGAGCGACGTTTGCAGCACCAAGCGCCGACAACAAACTGTTTACAAGCACTTCCTCAAATACGCCCCGATTTGTACTGTACAGTCGCACCAGATGTTGAACAGCCCCTGCGAGGTCCCCACGTAAAAGTGCAGTTGACACATCATTGTCAAAACGAAGCAACTTTACAGTTGGTGCGGAATCTGCTTCGTTGTCCCCATTGGGGGAGAAAGCCGCAATCTTAGGGGAAACCGTATCAAAATAATGGTGTAGAGCAGCAGGAGGGTTCGGCAGCGGAGAGACGTGATGGACAATTTCCTCCTCTGCACACCAGTTGTCTTCCGTTAAGGCCGAATCTGCGGAACGGTAGACAAAAAATACAGCACGGGTGTGAACGGCCTGAAGGTCGCACGCGTTTACAACACCAGGCAGTGTCACAAGGAGACTGTCTGCTGATGGTAGCCACACAGCCACAGAACCGTCGGCCACATGGCGCACAATCGCTTGTGTTGTGATGACAACCCGTCGTTCACCAGAGTTCTTCTTCGCTGAGCCCACCCCCTCAGCCTCTACAGGTGCACTCACAAAGAGACGCATAACTCCTGCAAGACCAGCGCAGCGTGCGGCCCAGGCCATGGCATGCGCTTCCAACGGACCACTTGTGACAACTAGCACGTGAGGCGGTGTGTCGCCATTCCGCGGAGAAAGCACAGCAGCAATATAGCGTGATGCCGCAAAAGCCGCCGACCAAAATGAGGTACGGCAATCTGCCGATGGGCAGCCTCCAATCACTGCGCGGGGAATGTCGGGGGATAGTAACGGTGTCACTTCTCCTGCACCGGGGACCTCCGTCGACAACGGAATCCATGGGACAACCACCGCCTCCTTTGTGTCCACTTCCACCGTCGTTGCCAGCTTTCGCCTTTTCTTGATGGATTCGTTGGCGTCCTTTCGCTCCCCCGTCGACCGTTTTCGGCCGTCCCCGGATGCCTCAACGGAAGTGGGCTGTAGTTGTTGTTTGGCCCGAACGACGCCTTTTTTGTGGAAGGCATTGCGGTGCTTCAACCAATTCTTCGCGAAGCACTCCTGGCCGCAGAAAAAACCACGGTCAGTGACAATCTCAGCTTGGCAAAGTGGACACTGAAAGGAAGAAGCGGGATTACCGCAGCCATCACAGAGTTGATCCCCAGCAGACATGCCTGCCCCTGCTTTTCCAGCTTTTTAAATGTTAGTTTCCTCTTTAGTTCGTTCACCCGCGTTTCACGCTTCCCCCCCCAAAGCAAAAGACAACACTGAAGCCACTCCGTAACCCTACACGGCCACAGGGAGACAGAAAGAGAGAGATATAGAAAAAAAAAAAAAAAAAGATCGGGATAAAGAATAAAAAAAAAATTGTGCGTTCTTTTTGTTCCCCACAAACTTCAAGTTACACCTTACTATCAATGTTCGAAGGCTTTATTGTGTTAGCAAGGTGCGGCGGCTTCTGGTAGAGTAGAGAACGAAGACTGCCAATTGCCCCCCATCTCCCACATCTGCGCACTCGAGCCGACAAACTGTTTACATACCACCAATCACAACAGAGGCACGGAAGTAAAATAATAAATGCTTCTTTGTATTTGAACTCATCGCTCCTTTATGAACAATTCCCAGACGCGGGTTTCTTTATAATGTAAATATGTAACCATGCGGATGTCTGCGTCCATCAGGCATCATCGATATATGTATGGATATATCATGTAAATATGTATATAGAAATATACGTATATATAAAAATAAATAGATACCTCATCAGCGCCATGGTTTCGGTTTGGGGCTCCACGGCGAACGCGTAAAGTTGCCACATGAAGTCCCTGGAGACAGCTTCAAACCACGACCACTAGCGTTCCCATCACTACTGCGTCGATGATGATGTTGATGGTGCTGGCGATATGGGGTCGTCTCCGCCGCAGCTCGAGGCAACTCCCGCAGCGTTGAACCACGGCACAAAGAAGCAAGAAGACGCTTTCGCCCTGCCGCCTCGTGGTCAAGTTTATAAAAGGCATCCACATAGGAAGGCGTCATCGACCGCAAACGTCCAGTTCTAAATAACGTTTCAACGTTCGTGGCAACGCTGGCTTGGCGTGGTGAGACAGATCTCCGCTGGATGATCCCATGAAGGTTCGCCAGCGTCATCGGATCGTCAAAAAACTCCTGATTTTCTTTTTCCATAAATTCTACTTTTGCCTTTGCTGCCGTTGAAAAATCATCCCTGGGGCACGATACAGAACGCCCTGAATGCGAGGGGCTGCGGGTCGTAGCTCCTTCTGCCATGAAGCGACATGCCGCATCTCGTCTTCGAATCGGGGAAGCGATGGTGGTGACGACGGGTATTTGAGAGCAAACGGTATTCGTCACCTCGTAGGCCTTGTTGCCTGAAACATCATAGCCAAACGGCCTACGCGGAATCTCCGCATCTCCCCACACGCCAGGGCCCTCTTCGAGAGGGACACGTGTCACATGCGTGGGGGTGCCTTCCTTCCACCGTCGCTGGCTCCCTGTTTGCCCGCTACAATTTGATCTCACGCTATGGCTACGTCCCTGCGACGGACTAGGCTTCGTTGGCCATTCAAGTCCTTCGTGTTGCCTTCGCCACGACATCGTTGGACGCATGTAGTTGAGCGGAGGATAGTAAAATACCACGGAGTCTCTCCTAGCTTGAGTAAACACATTGGCTTCCACTTCGGTGAAAAACGAACGAGAAATATCCTCACACCTTTCACCGTCATGCATGCATTTGCTGTTATGAACGCCTTTATCGGACATTCTATTTATTCCTGTACTTTGGCTGACGCTATGGGTGCATGAGGATGGAGAGGAAAGACTGGTTGCCTCCTCAACCTTAATAGCACAATTTTGCTTCATCCTGTGGGCATCCATTTCGTATGGGTCTACGCTCACCGCCGCGGTGGTGTCTAACATGGTGGAAAGCGAATACTCAGGAAATGTGTCACACTCACGCCGCACATGTTTGGTGGACAAGGTATCATTCTGCGCTTCTTGTGTCTCCAATGCTGCTGTCGTCAGGTAAGCAATGCAGGGAGTATGAAGCGATGGTGATTGCACAGGCAAAGGGGCCTCCTCAACCCTACGTGTTGTGCCTTCTTCCACCTCACCTGAAGCTTGACTCCAGTCATCTATGTCCTCAAGGACCTCAACTTCTTCAAGGCCTTCCTCACCACCTCCCAATTCAGTTCCATCTTCTTGAGAAACCTCTCCTCGTACCGCATCCTCGCCTTGACAGGGCGACGCCGAGGATGAAGACGACGTCCTCAACACTGCTCTATTGGACACTTCCTTCCTCAACCCCATCGTCGCTTCCGCAGGAATTCTTTCCTTCTTTGTGGCTGTTGAAAGGGGTTTCTGTGGGTCTCGGACAAAAATAACATCATCTCTATAAGGGCGTCTTGTGGGTGGAGTCAATTGGGTACCGCACGACGTCATGTGTGATCGGCCACCGCTGCGTTGACGCTGAGGCAGCAGACTGACTTCGTGGCGTTGCTCGTTGCAACATCGATGATCCTTTAAAGAGCACGGAACGATGTGACGGTTCAGCCGTGCCACATGTCCTTTCACTGCAGCTCGCGAGGTTTCGAAAGACCGCAGATTCACTGAGACACCAACATCGCGGCGCAACGCCTTACAACTTGAATTGGATGACACCAAGGCGTTCAACCCCGATGAGTCAGGAGTTACATCTAATCCTTCTATAGATGCATCTACATTCCCCTCACACAGGGCAGCGGGAGCATTGCAGCAGGTTTCATCGTGTTGGGTTTGATCCTCATCACGCGCTTCCGCCGCAGCCAGAGCATCACGGTGAGAAGATAGACCTGAGTGCAAGGTCGTGCCGGAGCAAGGAATACTACGCGGCTGGGGCGATGATGGCGCTAGCGGCCCCCCTTGGCCACTAATTGATGTATTATGTACCAAATGCGAATCACCACCCACAACAAGTGTAGTCGTCCCTGTCGTTGTGTTGTTTGTTGCAGTGAGGAGAGTGTTTGATGTCGGGTTCCACTCAAAAAACTCGCGTTCAACCTGCGCAGCCTGCTTTACACTCCTTGACCAAGTAGCCTCTCGGGCAGCGTCATATTCAGCAGCAGCCACAGTCATAAGCTGGGCACCGATGCTGTTAACAGATTGCATGGTTGAAGGCGTTTTTGCATTTGACATCGTCACTGCCGCCGGGGAATTTGCAGAAGTGCCCTCCACGTGGCTGACGCACGAGTGGTCGTCGCCATGAACCCCCACAATGGCACTCAATTCAATCGACGCATCCACCGCTGCATCCTCCCTATTCCCGCGTGTAGGGGGCGAGGAATCCCAGGCGCACGATGCACGAATTTGATATTCATTTTCAAACCTTCGGTACAGCACACCTCTCTGTCGGAGCTCAGTGATCCACACCGCCTCCCGGTCCTCCCCCTCCTGAAATACAATAGTTTTCATCCTTTCCTCTAGTTCCCACACGTGGCGTCGCTGGTTGCACATCCATAGCTCCGCAAGTGCTGTCAACCCTGAGTAGAAAACCTGTACCAATTGACGGTATTCTTGAGCTTCTGTTTGCTGAATACGCACGAATCGGATGTGATTTTCCTGCTCCATCAGCGCGGCCACATTTCGAGCGTAAGCACGGGCAGACTCTATATTCTGCTGAAGCTCCCAATCAAGTCGAGCATCCTGCAGGCGATGAAGATCATTGGTTGCTTCCGTCAAAACATTTTGCCACTGGCATGCCTCCTGTAAGTAGATAACTGCGGGTTGAAGTGCGTTTTCGCAAAGGCGATGATAACGTAAAAGGAAATGAAACGTGTGAGCCTCCTCCTCAACCACGCATTGCCGAGCGCTTGTCTCTGCTGAAAAAAAACGAAGAAGCCGTCCCTCAACAAGGCGCATGGCATGGTCGACGCAACTCATGTTTTCACCAACCTCTAGCAAAAAAAGGGATTCAACCCCAGAAGAACTGCTGGGGTCAACGATGGGGCGTCTACCACTAGTAGATCCTGTGGCAATGAGCTCCTTCTCAGTCCCTTGACACCGTTGCATATGAAATCTGTCATGCACACAAGCAGGAACCAAATCCCTCCGGGCACCTTTGTCCTCGGCAAGAGCCACGCTACGGTGTGGGGAAAACTTTGGCGAATAAGAGCCAGCTGCTTTTGTGATGGAAGACTGCGGCGGTGAGCCGGCTACTTTTAAACCAGCCTTCGTCTTAGTCGTTCCCTCCTCCTTCACCGCAGCCTTTCTTTTTGTCCTTTCTCGCTTTAAAGTGGTGGACGTCTCTTTCCAGGGGCATGAATTTGGGGAGAACGTCTTCTCATCCCCTGCTAGAAGCAAGGTGCGTTGGAAGGTATAATTCACAATTAACCCCCGTATGGCGTGTACGTAGGCGGTAGTTATTTCACGACGCTCCTTCTCTTCGCGTTCCATCAGCAGCAACGCTTGCTCCTGTATTTGCAGGGCATGATACACCTTCATGATCTCCGTCTTCGCAGGAATTATGGGTTGAGGTAGATGCACCGGTTCAGCAGTAGAGGGTCGCACCGAAAAGGTAGAGGAGTTGTGCAACGCAGAAGACGGTCGCGCGTTATCGGCTAGACCACCCGCAACCCGAGCCGTTCTACAAACGGGCACAGAACTAGAGCGCAACGGTGGCAGTGGGGTTGACCTTTTAGTGCCGTTTCTATGATCCTCACCAGAGGTACTGCCGTCCTCGTTTACTAGCGCCAGCGAAAAGGCAACCCTCCGAGTTGAAAAGGGGGAAATTCGGCTTCCCTGGAGGCATCGCCGGGTGCTACTGAAAGGAAGCTGCGCGGTAAGAGTGGAGTCAGTGGAGGAACTGCTCTTGTCATCACGAGGTAAGGAAAACTGAAGAGACGTCGGCGACGTACGGCAGGGATCAACCTGTGAACGCCAATCACCTCCTCTTATGAAAGAGGACCGTAGTTGCACCTCATCTGCCAGTGACGATGCAGATGCGGCAATACTGTGCGATTGCGCCCTACTCCCTTGTGCGACAAGCCCCACATTACCGACTGAAGACCCTTCACTCTGCCGTTGTGCCTCATTGTTATAGACCAGGAGATGTTGCAGTGGGCTTCTTATCTGTGGGTGTGGAGGAACAACCTGGAGAAACCGCTGAACCTCTGCACAATCACCTTTACCGCCAGTTCTCTCTTGTACTTTTGATGCCGCAGGAAACACTTGGGCAAAAGGAGGCACATGCCCTTCCCGCCTCTCCCCATTCATCCCGCCCTTGCTCAGCGGGGACGGTCGTGGTGAGACTAACATGGCACTAGTACTGCGCCGGGAAACGGCAGGTGGCGGTGATGGTGCCTTGGCGAGGTGTTTATCTGGGACTCGTGTGACACTCACCTCTGATGCATGTGGCCACAGCGGCTGCGGTGTCGGCGACATCATCAAGGAAAGGTTTGCGCTGTCGAATTTCAAGTTGGTACCCTCGCAGCCATCTGCGCTTCGTCGTGCCTTCCTGCTGCTACTCCTGTCCACTGCAACGACATGGCCACTTTGCAGCTCAGCTGCATGCAGAAAGCTTGCATCATTGTCCGAATTACCGTCCTCCGCCTCGTGACAGCTCGGTGTGAGCAAAGGGACACGCAGAAGCACCGGTCGCGGGTCCAGGGAAGACCGCACTGCGGTATTGTAGAGGGGCAGTGGCGTCGATGCTGTGGGCTTCTGCGCAACGGAGTCCTTTCTTGTCATAGACGACACGTCTTCCCTTCCGGCTTCTCTCCCTCTATAATTTAGTCACACACACACACACACAGTTTTTTGTTCGCCCTTTCCCCCACACACCCTCTCCCCCTCCTGTAGCGCCACCAACGACAAAGCAAAAAGGAAGCCAACACAAGAAGTGTGACAAGACTTGTAAATTCAAAGGAGAGCAGTAAACATGATCATTTTTACACAAGTGCACACCATAAAATAATGATAATAATCATCATGTTCCATTTAATGCTTTTTCTCTCTCGCTCATATCCCACCCCTGATTGCTGAAAAAGCATGAAAATCCCCAGTGTGCTCACCTCAACGGTCACACCAGACCAAAACGTCACCACTGCCATTTGCCAACTCCCTTTCCCACTCAGTGGCCGTGTTTCCATCGCACAACAGCGAGACACACCACTCTTCTGGTCGAGATGGAGTTGAGGGTATTTCGCCTCCCTGCAGCTCCTGCTCCTCCGCCAACAATTCGAAAAGAGAGATGGGTCTGTTGGATGGGCGCAGCGTGCCGCTCCCACTTGCCATGTATTCTAGGCCATTAATCTCCAGCAGCATATCCTCTGGGCTTCGATAGATAGCAGTGTCGGGTCGCACCATCACAGCGTCATGTGCGGTCATCTTTGTAGCGTCCCGCAGCAGCAGAAGCCGCGGTGAATGTTCTACCTCCACGTACCGTTGAAGAACACCGTACAGTGAGGCACTACTGACGGCAACACCAAGAGCAGATACGCCAGTAGGGTGTGTATCAAAGTTACCGCGAGACCAACCAAGACGATCATCCAGCTCCGCGATGCTGATACCACGATCGGGGCGCTGTCGCAGCAGCGGGCAAACATATTCTTCCACCAAGGCCACAAGTCCAGTTGGTGCAAAGGCACATTTCAGTGCAATACGCAGAAGCGGCGTCGAATCAATTGAGGCACTATACCACTGAAAAAACAATGGAAAACGACGAACAGCCGCTTCAGCAAGTTGCATCCAGCTGCCGCAGCTATTGTTATCCGTCTCATTCGTGCCACGCATGTATCGACAGAAATCTGTTGGATTAAGGAACACGTACTGCTGAGCCTCAGGTATGCCATTACCATCATGCTGCTGCTGCTGCTGCTGATCGTCCTCCTGTTTTCTCACGCTTACCAAAAGTTCCCACAGCACCGCATCATCCTTCACAAGAGGTCCAGTGACTATCTGCTTCTTCGCAAAAAGGTATCCATCTCGACAGGAGCGCCCCACACGCCGCAGCAGCGTGGGAAGATCACCAAACCTGGGGGCAAACCACACACCCCACGATAGTCCCTCTGCAACAATTTGCAGCGGAATGTCCACATCCGATGGAAATAGGCGCGATATCAGACGAGCGTACAGAAGCCAGGGCCCTACGTGCCCACGAAACGCCGCCACCACAGTATCCTCCACGTGCGCACTGCGATCAACAAGCACATCGAAAAAAAGTCCTTCAAATGCCTCTAGAAAAGACGGGAGGACACCAAGTGTTGCGGCCACAGATCCCCAGCGGACCCGACGAAGCAGTGTCTGAAGCCGCATTCCAGATGGAACAGAAACAAGAGGTAAAAGAACCACAAACACCGCATGAATTGTGGCCTCCGCAAAGCGTAGCAAAGCATCCGGCTGTTGTCCTTTTAATACACGCGCCAACTGTGAATCAAATGTTAACTTCTGGACAGAAGCCATGGACGGTGACAGTGGTGGTGGTGGTAAAGACAATGTTGGTGCCTTTGGAGCTTCTGGAGGCAGTGGCACATCAGCTGGAGTCAACCCTGTCATTTCTCCACCTCTGAAACGAATGCATTGTGCCCTCTCATCCACCGCAAATGGTAGTGCGCATTCACGCAACACCTTGAAGAGATCCGCCTGAGTTAAAGGAAGCCGCTCGGATTGTAACCAGCGTTGCAAGTAAGCAATGGGCATGAATGCGTCAGGAATTTCTGCTGCAGTCACCTCTTCATTGCATCGGAAAAGAAACAGTTTAATCGCCTCTGCACAAAGCTGACAGTGTTTGCCTTTCGCCTTGCGAGCGGTTTCAATCGCTTTCAGCGCAGCAGACTCTCGTGGTGACAAACAAACACTTCGCTGATGCACGGAAGTCCATGAAACAACCTCAGCAGCGTCAAAGTCAGCCACAACATCATATCGGCGCAAGACATCCAAAAAAGCTTCACCATCATCAGAGTCCTTTGCAGGTACAAGAACTTCACGTAAATCTTCGTATGTAACTCGTCTCGCAAGCAGATACCGCTTCCGCAAAAACTCCACGGCTCGTATGACAAGATCGACCTCCTGAAGAAACGTGGCTGTGGTGGTGACAGAATCATTTCGGCTGCCCAATACCCACACAGTCACATCCGCGGCATTAATAGCACTCTTTGCACTTGAACGGAGTTGGAGCTGCACCATCGCCGTTCCGTGCACACTGTGCACAACAAAATGAGAAGGGAAAGACATCAACATCTTCAAGAGGCTTTTCTTTTGAAGGAGGCTTGATACTGTCGACCAGGAGATAAGCTCCGATAACTCACTTAAAGAAATACCTGCAGGTCGCCGAACAAGTAGCGACTGAATAGACTGCAACGTCTCTAACGCCATTCTGGTTTTTGCTTCATCCGACAAGTGCAGTCGCCACATGGGCAGAGAGAGCGCTTGTTGCCCTTGTAAAGAAGAATAGGGCAGCCAACAGCGCACGGCATCTGCCACCAACGCCATTGTGTCGTCCATGGGAACACGAAGAAGAAACTGTGGGAGAAATGCATCCCGTTTTTTAATCCAATACTGCACCCGCTCCTGCGCTGCGTCGATATGGGCCTCAAGCGGTACATTTTCGCCTGCTGCACGTGGTTTCAGGGCGTGGCGTAGAGATGCATCTACTCTCTGCCACCACCACCACTGCAACGTCAACAAACACGGCGACAGCTGCTGCATCCTCTCGCGATGCAAGCGGAAGAGACCACCTCCGCAGGGGAACAGTACCTGCTCACAAACCCCAAACAGCAGAGCCTCGCCCACTAAATCCGTCATAAAACGACACGTGGTGTCATTAATGCTGGTGAATTTTCCTCTTGGTTGCTGCAGCAAAGAAAAGCATGACTCCACCGAAACTTCCTCCACCAGACGCGGACCGCGCCTCGATGGGGAAGGCGCTGAAGATGCGGCAAGACCAGAGATAATTAGGGGAACAATGACGCCATGTAACAACTGAAAGAGCGTATCTTTCTCTTTATCACTGCTCTGTGAAGAGGTCACATTGATGGATTGCAGCATGACATTAATCACAGGATCACGGCGGAGTCTTCGCAACTTTGCATCTCCCCCCGCGGAGGGTTCGTCGTGTGTAAGCGACACCAAACCAAGACGCTGCAGAGAGACTACACTTTCGTCAAACACAGTCCCAGCATCGGTGCTGGCGTCGCCGTGCCTTTTGCCCATTCCATCAAGGCGCTGCTGGTCGCAACTGCTGCAGCGAACAAACAAACGCCTCGCATCCTCTACACGACACGAGCTACCAGCTACAACAGGCAGGAGATACGCTGCCTGCTGCAGGTACGGAGGAAAGCGGTGGTTACTCCCAATACCAGACGGGCAGAAGAGACGCCCCAGATGTGCACTGTTTGGGCGCATCGGACCGCGCCAAACTGTTTTCACAGCAGAGCCGGCCAGCAGAAAAACAAAAACAAAAACAAAAATAAGAAAACAAGTGAAAAGGGGAAAAAAAAGTACAAACCCATAAAAAAGCAGCAAAGCAAAAAAAAAAACAACAACAACAATTAAGCTCATGCCTCACTCACCCACATCTTTTACTCTTTTTTCTCTCCTGTTTTTTTTCCGTTTTCCTTTCCTTCGTTTTGGCACGGATGTCGCTAGGCAGTACTTCTCACCACAGATTCCGGATTCTTTTGTGCGGGACCCTCACTAAGGAAGAAAATAAAACAGAGAGGAAGCAACGGCGCCTAAACGATAGTGCTATTGCTATCGAGTTTATCAAAGATTGGAAAGGACAACGTCACATAGACGCCATCACCATGGAGCCCATCTCCACCGCCGACCATAGAGTTTGCAGCAACGCCGCGGCGCGTCTGTCGGCAAGACTCCCCGGCACCACGAAAAGCTCCATGCGTTGGCAGAATGCAAACACGCCAAGTACACCCAAGAAAGATTGTTCCACCATCTTTCCTACGTGACGTGCAAACGCCGGATCCGCGCCTTCCGTGCCCAGATCCTCAATGGGGACTCTTAGTGCGTAACACAACTCCTCCAGCACAAGAACGGGCAACACACGCTGCAGTATGAGGACATCCTGCGACCTCTGGGCTTGCTTCTGTAGCCACTTTGGACCACCAGGGCGATGTGGCGCCGCAGAAGGGCACTGCATAACCGCCTCACTATCTACAAGTGACATCAACGCGAGGTCGGCAAGCAGTTCACCCAAAAGCGCGCGTAGCTCTCCTTGTGAAGTTTCATTTGGCGAGCGCTTATAGGCTCGCCGCGAAGACCCGTCTTCCGCGCGAGATGAGAGTCTATCGCCAGCGTGCGGCATCATCAGCGAGATTTCATCGTCTTCAGTCAAAGGAGGTACGATATGCGTAAAAAGATGACTCATGTATGAGAGCCATAATCGCAATAAACCCACCGGCTGCAGTTGAAAGCCCAACACCATGCGATGCGCCAGCTGAATAAGAACTCGAAACACTCCAATATCTCTCAGTGTGCAGAATGTAGCCTCGCGTCCCAAGTAGTCCATAGCACCCTCCCTCGCATGCTCATTCTGCTGCTCCCACTCTGCACGAAGTCTCAAAAAGTTTAGTGACAAGGTGCGAAAAATGGACATCAGCAACAAAGTGCCGCAAGGCGCAGGAAAATGGACAGGCGTCTCTGGATGGAATAAATCATCCATTACATCCATTGTAATCGCCGTTGTTGCTTCTCCTCCAGACGCCAGCAGCTGCAGCACCGGATCCTGCGAGAGATCGTCACACAGCGCCGCCGCTGAATCCTCTGGTGTGTGACGACCATCCACGTAGAGTTCAAACAGATGATCCACCTCCGCGAGGGCCTCTTCGGCCGAAAAAGCGTCCTGCAACCTTGCCCCAATACAGTTGTGCAACATCAGTCGTACGCGAATCCCACGCAGGTCCCATGGTAGCGCAAGAAAACCGGACGCAAGAAGTGTCATAATACACTGCTGACTCTCGTAATACGGCTCCTCATCATCATGATAATCAGAACTGCTGTGGTGTTCGGAGCATAACATTGCCAGAATAGGTAGCAGTGTTTCGCGTAGTACACTGCAGACATTAAGATTCGTCTTGCCAATGCGTTCATAAAAGACAAATAAGGCACGCAACAAACACATGAGTAATAAGGCATCTTCTCCAAATGCCCGTACAATTTTATCATGAACATGCCTTAAGTGCCACTGCAATATTGTCTTCTGGGCCTCTACCTCGTTGCTGTCAATCGAGGTGATGAGAGCTGCCACAGAAACCCGTAACGCATCACTTTCCCCATTGACTATCACAGTGTGTAATTGACGCAGCAAAGCAACAAGGGTGTCCTGTTCAATAAGGGAAAGAACCGTGAAACAACTCGGATGATACGTTCGCAAAAAATATTCAGTGACGTACGATGACCAACACAACGACGACGTCCTCACCGTTGGTGCGGTCACTGATCCACCTCCCGGTTCGCCACCAGCATCCGCGTCTTCCCAGCGCAGACGCTTGGTGCCGGCAAAACATCTCAAATCCTCCGACGCAAGTAGTTCTAAATGCTCCTCCAACAGCTGACGGTACCGCCGTCGAATCGCAAAAAGCATTGAATCGGTGCTCTCAACGGTGTCCGGAACATCCTCGGTGGCCTCCTGCGCACGCACAAGAGACTGTACGAGACGAAATGCATTGCCCCACGCGGTGGAAACCAACCTACGCGCCCACGACAACACGAGTGAATTGGATCTAAAAGCAAACGGCAACGACTCCATGGCCACTTCAACTTCCAGTGACGCCCTCCAAAAGAAGGATTGTCGACACACAACATTATGCACAGTCGCAAGTGAGCTATCGGTGGTCACGTTGTCTGATGTGAGACGAACCGTAAGATACCCTCGCAAGTGCTCTTGCATTCGCTCAATAAACATACGTTGAGCCTGCACCACGACAGGGTTGTGTTGAGCAACACACGAATCGTTTTCAAGCAGAAGAAGAGCGCCTGTGTAACCTGAAAGCAGAGTCATTAAAAACATCCAAACAGATTCACGAAACGCCACCCCCACATCACTCATGGTCCTAGACAAAAAAGCAAACACGTCCCTCCATACATATTGCGTGGAAGCGTTAACAAGACGCTCTATTTCAGCCTGCGCACGCCCTGTTGGTGTGTCCTTCCCAGCGTCGCAGACACTTCCCATAAGAATTATTGTTACACGCGCTTGTAAATTATTTATGTGACTCCGAGTGATGGCCTCAACCCCCAGACACAATCCTCGAAAAGACCCGGTCGCCTTTAGCAACTCCTCCAGACCTTGCATAGCTTCTGAACGAAGTAGCCGCTCATTACTTGCTACTCCATCACTTTTACACGTTACTAGTTGCATATTCACCAGAGCCTTCTCCGTATTACCCGAGGTGGTGGAGAGCAGCTCCTCCCTAATTGCATCGGTGACACTTTGAAGAAGGATCAGACTAAAGACAGAGTGAGGCCCCTCCTGCCACCAACGACGCAGTAATGGGATGAGCAGCGTGCGACGCCAGTAATGACTCTTAGCAAGACGCATGAAGAGTTCCCGAGCATGCTGAGGGCGTCCACTTTTAGGAAGGGGCAACGGAATCGGCGGGGACGTTCCAGCAGTTTGATCGGTCTCTGTAGTACGCGTTCCGGAAGTTAAATACAAACACAAATCATTAAGGTAGGCTTCTTGGGCAATGCGGTCCGGCTCAGGAAAGGGCGTCGCGCTAGAGTTGGAGGAAGCAACTCCTTCCTTCCTGTTCCCATCAGGCAAAGCATAAACATCTTTTCGAGTAGAGTCCTCCGCTGCTCTTCTACGCGTAACTCCAAGAAGAACACCTGCTAGAGCGTTGAGCAGCCTCTTCGTCTGCGGAGGGCCATGCAGTTGAGCTGCGAAATCAGTGACCTCCTTCCCGGCCTCTGACTGCGCGTTGTTTCGTGCGGCGTCACCGGTGAAAGTGTCGGATGCATTCGACTGGGGCAACGGCAAACGCATCCGGCAGGAAGTCCCCCAGAGCAGTGACTAACTAGTAACACAACCGAGGACGCCCACCTCAAACAATAATAATAAGGGTGTGCCTCACAGCAGGCAGCGAGAAGGGCCCAGAAGCAAAGAGGAGTTGAATGGGTGGTGCACAAAATAATAATAATAATAATAATAATAACACACCAAAAAAAATAACAAATATATCAGTAGACGAAGCAAAAATAAAGAGGGTATTTCAAAACTTAACAACAACAACAAAAAAAATAAAGATGTAAAAGACCAACAGAAACAAAAAGATAATTGTGGCAAACTGCATCTTCAACTAATCACGTTCCAAGTAGTGTCTATATAAAAGGCCCAATCATCAATGTTTCCCCATTCTTCCGCCTCAACGTTAGCACTGGCCCTCAAGAAGAGCCAATGGGCAAGAACGTCACACATCACATCTTTCTCTCTCTCTCTATCTCTCTATATATATATATCTGTTTCATGCACTTTTGCTTTATATAATGGTATCGTTTCTTCTCATACTTTTTGTTTTTCTATTATTATTTTTTTATTTCCCACTCACTCTCTCACACACTTTTGCCTCCTTCCACATTCACCCGCCCCCTTTATTCACATGGTATGAGTACTCGCAGCTCGTTCACATAGCGCTGTAGCTCCTCCTCCCTCCCCTCCTCGATGAGTAGAACCAGGTACCGAAGACATGTCTTTCCATCGCCAATCAGGCGAATGCAGCGCAAAATTTCACGTTTTTCTCGACGCTTGTTGCAAGCTTTAAAACGTGGATCCACTACAGAATCATCTTCCTCACTGTATTCCTCATCACTGGTATGCCTCAACTCGTCAGGGGTGAGGTGGTATTGCTGCACCACGTCCAGGGGGATCTCTATGTCCAAGAGCATTCCGCTTTCGGTAATAATTTCAACACATCGCTTTCGCTCTACTAATAACTCAGCAGGAATAAAAGAAAACCTATCAACAATTGCAGGATTGCCCCACCCCTGTGAGTCTAAAAGGGAAACTAGAGTTTGTAATGCGTCCTGAATAGCCTCTGCGTCTTGGTAGAGTTGAATGACCCATTTCTTCACAAAACTATCCCTTACCTTGGAATGCAGAGCACACGGAGATGTCAAGGGCGGTGGAGGGGAGAGAAGAATTGGCACATCAGCCGCTTTGGTGCCATGCGACCGAGGTGCAGAAGCCGCAATAAAGGACTTAGCGCCTCTCCGAGACTTTGAAGCTGAGTAAATCCTGTGCGCCTTAACTGGTGAGGAATCCGTAGATGGAGACAACAGCATCGGTCGCCGCAAATGGCTTGCCACAAGACGGGGTTTCGCCTTTGGCTCAGTGGCGACTTTGCCATCGGCAAAGAAACGAGGATCCAGCATGTTAACATCGCGTAAGATTTCCGTGGCGTTCATCGAAGCAGCGTGAGATGTTTCTTCATCCTTGCGAATAGGTGAGACAAATACCACGTCCTCCATGCACCTCGTCTCAGGCGTGTCTGGAGTGTTGGGCCTCGGCGAATTACGTTGAGGTGTATCTCCAAATGGTGCATGACGGGTATTTCGACGATTACGGAGATGCAGCCACTCTTCATGGTCCAGCGTCGCATCGCGGTGCACTGCTCGCGCTTGGTTACCAACCGGAAACGCCCGATTTCCCTCATCCCTTTCTTCACTGGAGATGTTCACAGGGATGATGTTTTGGGTCCACCCTTGAGCCTGGTGATTACTGCCACCACTGACACAAGTTTCACTGTCCTCCCTCTCGACACCCTTGCATTGCGCAGGTGTATCATTTGGTAAACTCTCCAACGCATCATTGCCATCCCCGCGTTCCACGACGGCAGGTGCGGTGTCCACGACTTGCGACACCTGCATGCTGGACAGCCGCTCCTCGAGCAAGGATTCCAGGTATTTTCTCGATTCCTGTGCAAGATGTTTTAAGAGCTCCTGTGGAAGAGGTTCCCCACCCGCTCGGTTTGGGAGGCCTCGCTGTTGTTTCCTTTTTTTATCTCGAGCTGCAGCTTGAGCCTTCAACACCTTTGCCGTGCGCGCAGCTCGTTCAGCGTCAACATAGCCAGAACCTGCCCCAACCGCAGCACCGCGCGTTAGTAAATGCATATAACTGGCACACTGTGATACTTCTGCCACTTCGCCGTCATCTGCGGACGACGTGGAAATGTTTACACCACTAATACTACCCCCAGGAGCATAGGGTAAACGAAGGCGACTGCCCTCATGTTCTGCCTTTGCTGCCAATCGTGAGAAAGTAAGACGGTCACCATCAATTGAAAGCAACGATGGACAAAGATTACGCAGCAAAGGACGGTAACTACGCTTTATACGCTCCGCCACAGGGTTACCATGCAGCATCAAGTGCCGCAGTCCTCTTGTAAGTGACAGAGGTCGAATGGAGGCCTGTGTTGTAAGTCTATTATGCGCCAAATCAAGTGTCTCTAGGAGAAGCAGATGCGCTATACCTTCGACAAAGGTAATATCGTTGTGGCCGAGGAAAATGTGAGATAACGCAAGGTTTCGCTCTAACCCAAGCATGGAATGAAGCCGGTTTTTCCGTGCATTGAGCAGAGTAAGCATTCTGCACTGCCCTATGCCCGTCAGATCTTGCAACGTGTTATCACTCACATCAAGACGCAGAAGCGACGGTGGCAGTATTTTTAGTGACTCCAGGCAGTTTTGGCGAAGACACAAAACTGTCACCGAGCGAAAAGAACCCGCTGAAGTAATCCCTGGTGAGAAAGACAGCGTTTGATCAGACGGAAACGCCTTCGATATCGCCTCACCAGACGAGGCCACAACATCCCAAATATCGTCTACGCCATAAGTCTCACGCAAACGGCCTGTTGGCACCATGTTGGTAAGATCCAAGACAACTCGCAGGAGGGGGCTGAGGTTCGCTGTCACGTCGAGAGGCTCCGCATCATCCACGCCGCGTGGAAATGGCGCCCCTTCCTGCTTCTGTCGCCCCCTCCTCACCCCTCCACTCGGCAAACGCCGCCGATTGAGGGATTCCTCTTGGTGGCTCGGCGTCGCTGGTGCAGAGTTCCGCGCCACGGCTTCCACCGCCGTACCCCCGCCCTGGCGGCTCGGCTGGCGCTCCAACCCGCCGCCCAGGGCAGCGACAGACGCCGCGTCACTGGTGGCGCTGCCCGCGCGCCCGCTTGCCGCAAACAGCGCGGAACGGCGCCTCTGCAGCGCCTCCATGTCCACCCCGCGGCGGAGGCCGCCACTCCGCGCCGTCGAGGAGACGCTCCCGCCGCGCGACTCTGCGACCCCCGCCCCAGTCGCCCCGGAAATGGGGAGACGAAGCGCG